GGGGGGGGGGAGGGAGAGAATCTTAAGCAAACTCTATGCTCAACATGGAACCTGACCCGAGGCTCGATCCCACAACCCTGAGGTCATGACCTGAGCTGAAATCAAGAGCTTAATGCTCAACCCAAGAAGAGGGAGTGCTTTTTAAAAAATTTTTCCTAGGGGCGCCTGGGTGGCTTAGTCGGTTAAGCGTCCGACTTTCGCTTAGGTCATGATCTCGCGGTTCGTGGGTTCGAGCCCCGCGTTGGGCTCTGTGCTGACTGCCAGCTCAGAGCCTGGAGCCTGTTTCTGAGTCTGTGTCTCCCTCTCTCTCTGACCCTCCCCTGCTCACGCTGTCTCTCTCTCTCCTAGAAATAAATAAAAAATATTAAAAAAAAAATTTTTTTTTCTATATACTGTAATTTTTTAAAATATAGTTTAATGTCAGGTTGGTTTTTATTTAACACCCAATGCTCATCCCAACAAGTGCCCTCCTCCATGCCCATCACCCCCCTTCCCGTCTCCTCCCCCGCCCCCCCCCATCAACCCTCAGTTTGTTCTCAGTATTTAAGAGTCAGAGATAGCTTATTTAGATTGAGGAGTCAAGTAAGACAGCCTGAAGGAGGAGGCATTTTAAGTGGCCTTTGGAAGGCTGGTGGAAGAAGCGGAGTAAAGGCCCTGGGGGTTAGAGAGTGAGCTCTCTCTGCTGTGGTGTCCAGTCTGGTTTAACCTCTAGGGTTGATGTTTCCACAGCTTACAAAGGGGGGGGGGAGGTGGGGGGACACCAGGAGCAAAGTCTGGAAGGCCGTGGGAGCACTTGCTGGTTATGAATGCAGAGGCAGCCTGGAGAGCATCTCACCAGCGACTGGCAGGTCCCCGGCCGTTTGGGGTCACGGTGGGTTGACCTCCCCAGAATGCAGCTGTGGAAGACTGCATTTACAGAAATGTGTAGCAATATGGTGGGGGCGGGGGGGAGGAGCTGAAATCAGCACAGCCGGGTTTCTGGCTTGGAGACAGACAGGTGCTTTCGAGGACAAGAAGGCCTGCGGTGAAGAAACTTCTGTGAGAATTGGTTTCATCTCGTGGCTTCCAAGTTCATCTGACCTTGGGTTCACATTTTAGTTTTTTACACATACGGCACCTGAGACTCATGCTTTGCCTTTTGCTGCCTCGGTTCGGTGCGAAACAAGGAGTAATTGCTTGGTAACTGTTGGCTGGTTGGTGCTGGATCGATGGAGGGCTGTGCACCAGGGCCGGGCCGGGTCCCCAGCTCTGAGGGCTGCAGGGGTGTCCGGTGGTAGCGGGGCCATCCCCTCCCTCGTAGGCAGGGCTTAGAGGGAAGCGTGTGCCTTTACTTCCTGGTCCCAGATAAAGTGACCGTGTCCAGCCAGTGTCTTAACTCTCAGGCTGTGTGTTCTCCTCGAAGTTACTGAAATCATTTGAACCTTCCTTTGCCACTTACCCCATGGTAGCAGCACATCCTACTTCAGAATACAAGGACTTGGACTGGGGTCCTTGGGCGGAGGCCCAGAGACGACCGAAGTTGTGCCCTGACCAGACCTGTGTCTGCACCCCTGGGGGCCCCTTCCCTTCTCCCCTCCGCTCCTTCACTCTGAGCCACACGTGGGCCTTGCACAGTGTTTACAAGGGGACGTCATTCCGATAGGCAGAGGGCATTGCTTCTTGTTCACACCAAACCTGTTAACCCTGGGTAGGTCCCCGTGGGTCTGGGCATACGGTTTTCTCTGTCCGGTGAGGGACTCCGAGTGTGCAAGGCCCTTTCTAGCACTAACGACACGCATGTCCCTGTTGTCTCTAGGGGGTTTGGTACAGTTTCATCGCAGCCCCTGGGGGCGGGGGGAAGAGCCCCCTGTGGTTCCTTCACCTTCCAGGTTAGAAATCCCAGGGTTTTCAGAGGATTCCTGTGGACTTCCTTCTCGGTGTCAGACTCCCAACGATTTCAGTCCACAGATCAGCAGCGCGTGCGTGTGCTCAGTGTAGACAGCCAGCAAACACCAGCAAGCTTCTGTTAGGATGGAAATTGGGGAGTGGAGGGGGAGCGTTGTTCTTACTCCAAGAGTTTTGCTTTTGGCTTAGCGTGTATGACTCTTCTCTTTCTTTTGGAGGGATTTGAATTTGTTGCTGTGGTGGTAGGTTTCCACGGCAACTGCTGTTGTCGCACATCTGGCATCAGATAACGTGGTTCCCAAAGTCCAGGAGTCTGCACAGAGTCAGGCTTCCCCTCATCCCCACGGCTCTGCCCAGGATGTGGAGATGCACAGGGTGCAGGGCGTGGTGGCTCGGTGCCGTGTTAAGGAGACTCTATTTGAACTTGTTGAGTTCCCGGGCGTTATCATCCGGGCTGCACCGAAAGTTACCTGGGCTACTGATGTTTTACACTGGAAATTCCCTCTTCCCTTTCTGTGGAGGAGGAGGGTCCGAGAGAGGGCGGCATGTTGGGAAAGAGTATTTTCTGATTTATCACAACACACATATTAGCACGGCTTTTTTGTTTGCTTTTAAAATTTTTTATTTTATTTTTTATTTTAGAGAGTAAGTACAAGTTGGGGAAAGAGGCAGTGGGGAAGAGGGAGAGAGAGAATCTTAAGCAGGCTCCATGCTTAGTGCAGAGCCCGATGTGGGGTTCGATCTCACGACTTTGGGATCATGATCTGATGAGCCCAAATCAAGGGTTGGACGCTCAACCAACCGAGCTACCCAGGCTCCCCTGTTTGCTTGCTCTTTTCAATCAAAAATTCATAAATAGGAAGTAGAGGAGAACTAGAATCCTGCCGAGTGTCTGAATGTGGCAGGCCAGCCTGTGGGCTGTTTTTAGCTGTTTCTTTAAAATGGAAAGTTCCAGTTTGCTTTGGGGCCAAAATTCCTAAAAGAAATCCTGCCTGGAGGTGTATTACGGGGTCACTGTATATTTGCGAGTTTATATCTTGCTGACTCAATTGGCAAAAGGTTTATTTTTCCTGGTAAACATTCAGGAGGTTTTTTCCCTCCCTCCTTTCCCTAACAAAATCATATTTGTCATACGTGTATGAAACAACCGACTGTTAAGAGTGTGCACACCTCTGCGATGATATGAAAATGAGTGGTGGCAAACAAAGATTTCCTGTCTTAGGTACCGCAAGGTCTCAAGTGAAGTTGACTTTATCCTAATATTTCTTGCAAATTGTGACCAAGTGGAAACAAAATTGGTCAGGCCTTAGAGACCAATAAAAATAGCACAACAAAAGGGTTATTATTTGTGAAAAATGTAGGTTCCTCCCCCATATGACTTAGAAAACTTGAAGTCATTATTAACTCTTCTTTAGAAACTTTAGAAGATACAAAACCTTTATTATAATAAATGGTCATGCTTATTTTAATGAATAATGAAGCGTAAAGTTATTGCCTGGTACGAAGCCTTTTTAATTACAGGAATGAAAAACACCAACATTTGGAGTCCGATCACAACGTGATTTCTACTTTGAGTCTTTAGCTTTGAAAATGTGTGAGAACCACACCTGTGCTTTAAGCTCGTGACAAATCACATGCAGAACTCTGTGCTGATAATATAGCCCAAAAATACTTAATGTGCCATTTCAGTGTGCCGTAAGGAAGAAATGTTTATTTTTCATTAAACAATGTGTTTTTATTTCTTTCAACTTTGGGGGCAAATATGTGAATTATGAACCCATAAATTTTCCCCATTCTTAAAAAAAAATAACATACCCACACTGTAATAAAAATGTAACAGGCAAGAAAAGTGAGTTTCTGGTCGGGTTCTAAGGCAGCCTGTGTTAGGTCATTCTCATACAGGTACGGAGTTGAAAGACCTTTATTGTTTTATTTTTATTTTTATTAAAAAAATTTTTTTTAATGTTTTATTTATTTCTAGGAGAGAGAGAGACAGTGTGAGCAGGGGAGGGTCAGAGAGAGAGGGAGTCACAGACTGAAACAGGCTCCAGGCTCTGAGCTGGCAGTCAGCACAGAGCCCGACGCGGGGCTCGAACCCACGAACCGCGAGATCATGACCTAAGCGAAAGTCGGACGCTTAACCGACTAAGCCACCCAGGCGCCCCAGACCTTTATTGTTTTAAATTAACTTTTGAGATGGTTTGTGATCAATACTTTTACCCCTCTTGTTACTTTGTTACTCTTAATCTTAAGCTCGGCCCTAAAGAGTTACTGACAAAATGGTCATGATGTGACAGGACAGAGGGGTTGGCAACATATAAGTGTATCAAACCAACACATTGTACACCTTCACCTGTTGGGTGTCAGTTACATCTCAGTAAAGCTGGGGGAGGGGAACGAGTAACTGTGTAGAAAACCACGTTTATGCAAAATGTCTTGCCCTTGGCAGCTAACCGTGCGCTCAGGCCCTGTTCTGAGAATGGCAGGCAGCCTGTCCCGTTTACAGAACTTTCCACGTGGAGTCTTTGCGCGGGGCGGGCGGGGAAGCGGGGTGCCGCGGCGGGGGCGTTTCTTCTGCTCAGTGACGACGCTACCCCCTCTCTTTGCATAGGTGAAGCTGCTCTCCGGGGAGAACCCAGGATGCAGACCCTCCCTGTGGCGTCTCCCCTCACCAGTCACCGCACAGGCCCCCCGCCCATCAGTCCCAGCAAGAGGAAGTTCAGCGTGGAGCAAGGGGACGATGGCCTGGACTGTGAAAATGACCATGCTTCCAAGATGAGTCGCATCTTCAACCCCCATCTGTAAGTTCCCTCTTTCTGAAGCGGGGGTCTTCTGGCGTCGGCTTCTGGGTGCTCCGTGTTTCTTCGGCAGCTTCATGCCAGCTCTGAAGTGAAGGATGAGCGACGCTTACCCGCCAGGCAGGAGATGAACCGATTCTAGTAACTTGTGGAGAGGTGGCATCTTCTTGCCTTCCTGCTGACCACGTGTGTGTGTGCCCGTGAATGGTAGCTTTAGCTTTCTCTTCCAGCATCCTGGGGTGGGGGTGGGGGGGGGGGGTTGGCTGAAGACTGCCTTGTCTTGCCTGTACCAGTGATGGTTGATAGGAGAATTGATCTTCGGTGAATGTCTTATGGGCTGGGAAATGGAAGGAAAGGTTAGCGCCTACGCCGGCTTCCGTAAGCTCGTGTAAAATATTTTGCTTGGGAGCCTAGAATTGTACATGAAAAAGTACAGAAAAAATACGGTGGTCCCCCCTTATCTGCAGGGGATATGATCCCAGACTCCCCATGGATGCCTGATCTGCAGATAGTACCAAACCCTGCACGTGCCCTGTTTTTTTCTCGACACACATACCTGTGAGAAAGTTTGATAAATTAGGCACAATGAGAGATTAACGACAGTCGCTAATAGAACAGTTATAGCTGTATATTAGAGTAAAAGTTATGTGAATATGGTCTTTCTCTCTCAGAATATCTACCGCACTGTGCTCACCTTTGCGATGACGTGAGACGGTAAAATGAGGTGCGGAGAGGCGAATGGCGTGGGCGCTGGCAGGTAGCGTTAAGCTGCTGGTGACTTCCTGACGGTATGTCCGGAGGAGGACAGTTGTATTAATTCTCACCTTGTGGGTTTGCTGTAAAAACGTAAGACCTCCCCTAACGTGGGAAAAGATGTCTTCCTGTGTTGGCAACAAGGCGCTGCTCGTGGCGGAAGAGCCCGTGGGAGCGGATACAGAACCAGCCCTCCATTTGGTCACCGGCGCTATCCGTGGTCGCGACAGGAGTTGCTCCAACTCTCTGGGCCTTCGTTTCCTGACTTGTCAAGCAAAGGGGTTGAAACGAAAGTTCACTGAATGTGTGTAGTGTCACCGCATTTACGGTAGGAAAACAGCTCGCTTCTGTGCGCCTCCTGGTGGGTCCCTCTTTGCACTTTCTTCTTACTGCGCATGCCCGGCAGAGGGGGTGGAATGCTCGCTCACATGTTTTCAGGATTTGGAGACACCCAGCCAGCTGCCCCGGGAGTCTGCTCTGGCAACTGCGTGGCCGTTTGGCGCTATCAGAGTGTGGGAGCTCGTGGGGGGAGGGCGCGGTAGGCCTGATTGTTAGAAGGTGTAGCTTTCTATATCCAGGTAAAAAGATCCTCCTCTTCTCCCCTTCCCGGGCCATGAATCAATGTTACATAATTATTCCAAATGCTTGGCTTCCCCAGTTGTGATTTCTGAGGATGCTGCTGTTTCTGGCAGGAACGCGACTGCTCAGAGAGTTCCTGTTTTCTCATTGGAGGAGACCTTGTGCGGTGAGAGCTAGCCGATAACGCCAGCAGCCCTCTGCTGCCTCAGCGCCAGCAGCCCTGGGCATTCCATGCATTCCAACCCGCTTGGACTGTTGTGTTCAGTCATAAGACACACTGACAGAGGTATTTATCCTCAAATAAATCACTGCAGTGTTAGTCAGAGGCTGAGCCTGCAGTCTGGAGCCCTGGAATTTGCTACAATCAGGAATCCAGCGACAAGGCACTGCAAAACAATGAGCTCTCCCAGAGAGGGAGAGGCTGGTCATTTAGATCCTGGATGCTCAGCTGTTTGTTCCTTCCCTTTGTTACATGGAGTTTCTTCCTCTCCTTTGCTGTCCTCTTTCCTGAAACCCAGATAGGAGACATTTGGTTTTTTGAGTTTGTTTTTGTTTTGTTTTGGAAGGAAAGGGGAGGTGGCCTTGAGATGGTATATATTGTAAGCAAACATGCCTTGGTTTAAATTTCAATTTCTGCCACTTCCTCAGACAGTCACTTAATTTACCTGGCCCCAATATCCTTTGTAAAATGGCATTGATACCAGTTCACGTGAGGGCTGCGTGAGCACTCGAACCACCGTATGCAAGGAGTCTGGTGCTGTGCGACACTCTGTTGATAAGTAGCTATTTTATTATTAGTAAGTCACTTACTCTGATATTGGTAACAGTGATAGAGAATAAAAATACTATTATGGTGAATTTCAGTCAGAATGTCTTGGGCTCAAATTTTTAGCTTCATCTTTCACTGGAAGTAATCATAGTTGTTTCCTCACAGGATGAATGTAAATGCAGTGCCAGGTCGATGGGAAGCAACTCCGCCCCCCGCCTCAGTCATCATCATTATTACAGTGTTAAAGCAGTTAGAAAATGATTTGGTAACTCCTTAGGTGGTCGGAAACATGACCTTGAAGTATAAACAATTCATACTATATTATAATTACTATCATAATATAGTAATTTAATAGTATAGTATTAATAGTATTAATATGGCAATATAATAAATCACTATACATAATTTAAAGTGTAAATAGAATTGCTAGATTTCATGTGCAACTCACAGTTGATGTCATCATGTGGAGTTTCAGGAAAATAGAAACAGCAGCAGCCCCTTGGGCCATATTCCCTGGACTTAGGGAAGAAAGGTGGTCAGTGCACGATCAGTTCATTCTGGTGTCACTGTTCACCTGTGATAATTATTCTCCTCAGCAACAGTAGCAATGTTTCTATTTGTATCTTCCGAGAGCTGAATGACCAATTTTGTAGCCAAATCCTAAAGATGCTGCGTCTATTACTTCTCCATGTTGTAGGGCATTTATTATTGTTGTTTGATTTGATGAAATGTTTCCTCTTGGAGCTATGGCCTCTTCCCTCCTTCTTACTTAGTAACGCTTGAGAATGTCTTTTTTATAATAAATGACAAACTGATATCTGATTGGAAAAGAATGGTCTAGTATATTTGTTTCTTTAAGGAGATTACAAAATGATTTTTGCTTTTTATCTTCTGAAAACATGTTGATGACGTGTAGTGAAAATGTGTTTTGTTTATTTTATCACTAAAGAAATCACAGTAATTCTGGGCATGGAGTGTAGTGTTGTTGGAAAACAGTTTTGACAGCTAGCAAGAGTGTTTCAAAGATGCAAGGCTTGGCTACATGTCGTTATAACTATCATGTTGAGATATTTTCCAGTAGAAAGGAGGGGATTAAGTGTCTCAGAGCCGGAGTAGGAAGCTACAGAGAATGACTCAACTTCACCTGATTTGATTCAGGGAGGAGGAGGAGAGAGAAGAGAGTTTTCTTAGTGATGTCTCCAGAACTTGGAAATTGAGAATTCCTGGGCTCCTGTTCTACCCTTTATAGTCATTTGAACTCTTCATTAATTTTCTTGTTGATATGGTGACTCCGAGAAATACATACATCTATAAATATATATTTATACATGTATAAATACATAGTTATACATACACATACATATTCATGTATATTTATACATATATAAGTACATACCTGTATACATATATATGTATATATTTATATATATATAAATACATATAAATATAAATATATAGTCTCCTAAGAAAGATGTTAAGAATATGATTTCTTCTTTGGAAGTTGAAAGATACCGTGTCTCTTAGAAAGTGCATTAAGGAAGGTCTGGGGCCATGGCTGTTGGGATTCCTCTCATGAAAATGTCAAGAAGTAATTCTTTATCAGGATCCTGGTATTCAAGTGTGATCTGTTCAGGAAGAGCTCTCTTTCCCTTCTCTGTTACCTGTATGGATTCCTATTGTATAGCCGTGAATCAGGTGAATGAAGCACTTTGTTATTTTCTGGCAAACGTGATTCTCTTGTAACCTGCCTGTGCCAGCCATGGAATCAACCATTTCTTCAGGGGACCCCGGTTCCTTTTAGTGCAGAATAGGATTTAGAAGCCCCAGCCTGGGTGCGAGGTATTAGGATGGTGGCATTGCCTTTAGATTGGAGTTGTCTAATATCGTAGACACTAGCTACTTACGGCAATTCAAATTTAAAATTAAATAAAATTAAAAATTCAGTTTTTTCTGTTACACTGGCCCTGTTTCAAACTCAGCAACCCCGTGTGGCTGGCTGCCACCATATTGGACGGCACAGATACAGACCATTTCTCCTGTCACTGAAAGTTCTATTGAACAGCACTTTTCTGGACCCTTTCCGGGGAAAGAGCTAGGGAATCCTGAGTTCTTATTTATACTCCCAGCGTGAGTCCAGTCCCACAGAGTTCTTCCTCGCCCTCCCCCATTCCATACTTGCATGTCCCTGCTTCCCGGCAGCACATGGACTTGTTCATTCCTATAGTTCACGTGGAATAGTTTCGGAGTTGCTGTGCCCGTAGCACTTGGAAAAACAAACCTACTAAAAATAGAGTTCAGGATTTGTTGGTGGTTCTTTTTTTGTTCTGTGCCGAGGGTATGACAAAATACTTACAACTCTGTAGTCCGTTACGTGGACTTCCCTCCCCCGGCCCCCAGTGTTGTGTTAACTGAAATATATAGTTGGACCCATTCCTTTCTGTTTGCGTTCAGCTGTAGAGTTCTTCCCCCCTTGCTGATTTCATGTTGTTGTTTCAACGTGTACACCGTTAACACACTTGTAGAAGTCTGCGTTATATTAGAAAGGATTTTGGAGTGTGAGGAGTGTCCCTCCCTCCCATCTCCTCCTTTCCTTTTGCTCCTTCTGTAGGCTGTTAACCTTTTTGCGTTTCTTTTGTTAAAGTAAGCAGATAGGTTGGGGCGCCTGGGTGGCTTAGTCGGTTGGGCGTCCGACTTTCGCTCAGGTCATGATCTCGCGGTTCGTGGGTTCGAGCCCCGCGTCGGGCTCTGTGCTGACAGCCAGCTCGGAGCCTGGAGCCTGTTTCAGTCTGTGACTCCCTCTCTCTCTGATCCTCCCCTGCTCACGCTGTCTCTCTCTCTCTCTCTCCTAGAAATAAATAAAATAAAAAATAAAACATTTTAATAAAAAAAAAAAAAAAAAGTA